GAAATGATTCTGTATTTCGCCTCATTTGAAAGACTCTGTGTTTCACCTCATTTGAATAACTCTGTACTTTGCCTCATTTGAATAACCCTGTATAGCGCCTCATATACATTGACCAATGGGAATAGCTCTGTACAATGCCTCATTAGAATTATCCAATAGAATCCCTGCTCCTAGCTTGCGCCTTTTTCCCTATATAAGGACCCCTTTCCCTTGGCTCGGGGCGCTTAGCCACACAAAGGCTAAGTCGCCCCGGGTACCCGCGTCTCCAATAAAGCCTCTTGTTTTTTGCATCCAGTTCGTGGCCTCGCTGATTCCTGGGTGTGTGGGTCTCCCTCTACGAAAGTGCCTCTTCGGGGGTCTTTCACAATCACACTGGCCTACAGGCAAGTCTATAGGAACCATTAGGTTGATGTGGAGGGCACAGCCCACTGCGGGTGGTGCCACCCCAGGCAGGTGGTCCTGGGCTGTATAAGAAAGCAAGCTGAGCAAGCCACGAGAAACAAGCCACTCAGCAGCATTCCCCCATGGGCCGGGCTTCAGTTCTTACAACCTGAGAGTTGTAAGATGAAATAAACTGTTTTCCTGCCATGTTGTTTTTTTTGGCCATGGAATTTTATCACAGCAACTGAAAGCATATTAGAACAGGGTTCTAATGCATTCTGGGCTGCCTTGATGTCCCTATGTGACCAAGGACAACCTTGAACTCCTAATCTTCCTGTATACACCTCTCAAGTGCTAGGATTACAGGCACCCAGCTTCCCATACTTTTTTTCCTCCAGTTATTCACATCTTTGCTACACTAACAGCAACAGTCAAGTAAGGCATCACCTGTTAATGTCTATAGTGGGCAATCCTTTATACAGGCTCCGGGAATTCCTGAAAGTAACTTGGGGTTCAGGCAGGTCCTGTACCAGTTTGAATACAATAGTACTAGGCTAGCAGGGCTATAGCCTAGATGGAAGGAAACCCTGAACTTAAAACTTACCTGTCACGTTAGCACTGGAGGTCAGCAGAGGCACAGAGTCGTTTCCCTGTGGAGAGCCTACAGAAATAAAGAGACACATTAGTAAGGTGCACTGAGTTAACTTGGAACGCAGCCTGAGCCTCTGCCCTTCAGTGAGAGGTTTAGGGCTCCAAGAGGTGTGCACACTGAAGCCAACTGAGAATTCAGAGATGCTACACCATGGAAAGACAGCATGGGCCCTCAGGGCCCTGAGGAAGAATGCAGAATGTTTCCCTTACAGATGCCACCAGGTTGATGAACAGCCCATTGTACATGCTTACAGTCAGGCTGTCTCTGTTTCTTGAGCTGCAGGGGGAGGGGAGAGAGTCTTGCATTTTGAAGTAACTGTGAGCTTGAAGAAAATGAGAGGCCCATTTATTTCATGTGTATCCATCATGCATATACTCCATGCCTTTAAGCCTGGGGCCTGTATGCAGATGAGAGGGAGGGGAACTCATAGCTGGGCAAGGCCTGAGCATGGCAGTGGTGTGGGGGAGGGGAGACAATGCCACAGGAAGTTCTGCTTGTACCACTGTTGCTCTGAGACATCTTGGAGCTGTCAGTGAGTTTGAGGCTGCATTGTTAAGTCTTTCACACAGAGCACAGCAAACTTCCACAACAAACACATGCACAGTGCTCACTATGTGCTACTCTCAGGTGACAACAGCTTTGTCAAGGTGCCTGTGGAGGTGAAGGATGGACATCAGCTCTGTTCTGGGGTGGTGTGGAACATCCTGGAAAGGCTCTTTGTTTGGGTGATCTTCTCCTCACCACCAGCACCCCTAGTTTCACTCAGTAGGTCTCTCATTTTTCAGTGAAAATCTCAGTAGGTCTTCTAATTTTTAAGCTAGTACTAAGGTGGGGGAGGAGGGATCCTATGCTCTAGGTAAGCAACTTTTTAGTGATTTTTTTTGGAATCTGTATAAAGACTACAACCCAGGTAATGCTATTATTGTTCCTGTCACAGAGACCAGCCCTAGTGAGGTCAGGCTGAGCCCTGCTCTAAGCCACCAGTGTAAAGAGAAACAAAGGTGTTACTTATGTTTCTGACATAACAACACACTTCCAACAAACTCCCTCCCTCAAAACAGAAATCCAAAACAAACCTTTAAAACACAAAGAAAAGTCAGCAACAACAACTTTGAAATATTTACCAATTGTTAAATCTATTTCCTATGCAAATATCTTCCTCTGGATGGGACTATCATCCAGTGTGAAATGGAACTCAGACAGGTCCTGATCAATTCCGATGTGCTTGGCAGGTATCGAGCAGTGTCCAACAACAGTAAGTGCTTATGGGGGTAGGCTCCCTTCACCTCAGCCTCCCGGACATTCTACAGCAGGAGCACTGTTTTTGCAGTGACAGGGACTGAGGCCCAGAGAAAGCTACTCAGCTGTTAGTTTGGACATGGATCAGGCTGATTTTAATCCAAACCCTGCGTAGATCTATGTCTCTCCTCTCCGTAACTTCCTGGTGTTACATTACCAGCTGCTTCTTCCTCTACCAAGCCATCCCTTGGGTCATCCCTCTTCTGGCTTCACTGTCCAATCTATTAATTAGCTAGTGATCTGTCCCACTGCCCAAGACACTGGGCACATCTCTGCCACAGAGATCAACCTCTGTACATATTGCTGCATAAGCATCAGTCACTGTCACTCAGAGGCAGCATTTCATGGCAAAATATTTGAATGTTTGAACAGACATGTCCATATTTTTTAGTTATAGGTTAATAGAAGTTATCTGTCAGTTGCTACCAAAAAAAGAAAAAAATGCTAACAGCTTCCCATCCTGCCTCCTGAGTGCTGGGATTAAAGGTGTGTACCACCGCACTCATCAGAATCATCATTATGATAAATTGTTATCATTATTATTATTATTTTGTTTTTTTCCAGGCTCTATACAGCCCTGGCTGTCCTGGTACTCACTATGTAAATCAAGCTGGCCTGGAGCTCACAGAGCTCAATCTGCTTTTGTCTCTAAGAGCTGGCATTAAAGGTGTGTACCACCATGCCAGGCAGAATAATATTTGAAACCCAGAAGCTCCATGACATTATTTTCAGTTTTCCACAATATTCCGGACAGCACTGTGGAATGGAAACAGTGAGAACTAGCATCACCTGATGTGCTCCGTGATGAAATGGCTGAGTCTGGGTTCTGATCTGAAGTCAAACATGTATTACTTGTTGTAATGTAAGTAGGTTAGCTTACCTGAAAATCTCAGACTTCTCAGTTATGTGATGGAGATGGTATATGAGGACCCTGGTGTGATTTACAGATCTTAATTTTGCATAGTTGTGGGGAATATGTCGAAATGTACCTAGCAAACATTAGCTATATTTCAGTATGACTGCTAAAAATCACCATGTATTGAAATGTTGCTTATACTAATTACATGCTGGATACAAAGACTTCTAAGACAGTTACCTGTTTTTGTTTTGTTTTATAATTTTTAGAGATATGGTCTCCCTATGTAGCTCATGCTAGTCTTAAACTAAAATGTCCTGCTTGCTCGTTCCTTTTAAATGCAGGGATTACCAGAGGGCCTGGTCCTGTTGATTACTCACTTAGGAAAGCCTTTCAGCACAGTTTGAAGGTGACACAGTCTATAAAACTGAACTCATTGGTTCTACCAGTTCATGACACCAGGGCATCAGAGAGAGCGTTTCAAGTTTTCCAAATAGCACTGACCTCTCTAGTGAGCCATTCATATACAAAGTGTAGTAAGAAAGACGAACGACAACAAAAATGTTTTATGAGGGCAAAAGCTAGAAAAGAGCACTCCACTTTGCTCCGTAATCAGCAACTCATGAGAGTAAATAGGTATATTTGTACATACAAAGCAAGCAGTTGGGGAAAATGAAGGCCTCCTTCCATAAACATTAGCATAATATTTACTGTTAAGGCAGAACACCGGCACAATTTTACTGTTCCTTCTTTCCTTAACCAATCTCAGAATTAGGTCTGCAATTCCAGCTTGCCACAGTTATGGGTCAAAAGTGCAAACATAAAATGTTAGCGATTGAGGTGATAAAAACCTGTAAGCCCTGAAAATTTGGGAAGTAGAGTTAGAAGTTTAGCAGTTCAAGATCATCTTTAGCTACGTAGGAAGTTCAAAGCCAGCTTGGGCCTTAAGGGTTACTAGATCCTGCCTCAACAAAAACAATTCAGCTCAACAAAAATGAAATTCAGCTCAACAAATAAGGTTGTTTAATTCACCCGGATTATTCCAGCAAAAGCAGGTGCTGGGCCCAAACCAAACCATCTGCTTAAGTAAACTGACTTAATGGATATCTCTCCATGGCTGAGAACACACACACACACACACACACACACACACACACACACACACACACACACTCATACACACACAGAAAGAGATGGACAGAGCTGAAAACCACAAAACCCCTGGTCGCTTAAAGCTACTTATCCTAGTTTACTGTTTCTCTAGCGATTGGGCTGTAGTAGGAGATAAGGGAAAACAGAATTCTAACAAACTCGGAGTTCTCAAAGTGCCCAAAAGGTCAAGGTCCCGAAGGGAAACAAAATACCCTACACACACAGCTGCCAACATCACTTTGTTACGACC